GTGCATGTGTCCCCAATAGAGAATGGAGAAGGGATTGCAGCATGACCATTCCTCATGGGGTTGCTTTCTCCTCTCCCTCTCTTCCTGGTGAGTGCACATATCCTCAAACATAAAAAAGTAAAAAAAGAAAACATTTGCCAACCCGTTTTAGAGTGTTTTCTGCTTCAAAACAGGCCGAAACACCCTTTCAATAAGTGTGCAGGGATACTCAGGGAAGCATGAACGAGACATGTTCAGCCCCACCCACTTACACAGAAGCCCAGCTGGTAAAGAACTAAGTAAGGCTGGAAGCATGCCTCTGGGCTTGGAGGCTTCCAGCCCCTTGCGAGGGCAGCATGAGTGGCAGGTCTGGGCACCCAGCCATGCCCACACCCAGAGAACAGCCTCACCTCTTCCCGTACCCAGGAGAGCCTGGCCCAGACTCCACCCCACCTGCCCCCTTCCCTCAGAAACTTCACAGGAAATCCCCCAGGTTTTTTCCAGTAAATAGGATACTTTTAAAAATTCAGTTAACGGGACCAGCAGATAGCATAATGGTTTTGTTGCTGGACTCCCTTGTAATCAACTGTGGTTCAAGTCCTGGACCTAGTGGCTTAAAACTCATGCCAGGCATGTGTGTGCGTGCCCCCAAATCCCAAGAGGAGTGGAGCAGGAAGGATTGGAGTTTGACCATCTCCCCTGGGGAGTGATTTCTTGCTTTCTGTCTATCTCTGTCTCTCTGATGAGTGCATGTGCTCTGTAGCAAAAATCTAACAAATAAATGAATAATTAAACGTTCAGTTTACATTAATGAGTGTCATTTTAATGGCTAGCTTGGCATTGCTAAATCCTTGGCTTTAGTGAAAATCTCCACCCCAAAGGATAGGCTGCTAGCAGAGCTGATGCTAGCAAAAGACCCTGTGGGGGGAACCAGCAGATGGTGTAATGGTTACATCACTGAACTCCCATGTAGTCGACTGCAGTTCAAGTCCCAGGTCTGTTGGCTTAAAACTCACACCAGGGGGAACCAGCAGTTAGTGTAATGGCTATGTCACTGGACTCCCATGTAGTCAACCAGTTCGCATCCCGTACCCGGTGGCTTAAAACTGACGCCGGGCGCGTGTGCATGCGTGCCCAAGATCCCAAGAGGAGAATGGAGGAGAAGGGATTGCCGGCATGGCCATCCCTGCTGGGGGGTGATTTCTCGCTTTCTGTCTCTATGTCTCTCTCTGTCTGGCAAGCGCACGCGCCCTATAATGAAAAAACCTCTCAAAAAAAACCCAAAAAACAAAAAAACTCACACCAGGCATGTATGCATGTGTGCCCAGAATCCTAGAAGGAGAATAGAAATGGGATTGCAGAGTGGCCAACCTCCCTGGGAGGTGATTTCTCAATTTTCTGTCTCTCCAGTGATTGCATGCATCCTACAATAAAAATCTCTTTAAAAAAAAAGGGGGGGAGGGGAGAGGCAGGAGGGCCAGAAGGTGGCATGGTGGTTAAGGGCACTAGATTCCCACATGGCCGACCACGGTTCATGTCCCAGACGTGGCAGCTTGCTTTCTGTCTCTATCACTCTGTCCTTCTCTGGTCAAATTAAAAGAAAAATAAATAAATAAATAAATAAAGTTAAAATAAAATAATTCTTAAAAACAGAACAAAAAGCCCTGAAGGCCCACCTGCCCCAGCCTGGCCCTCAAGGCAGCCCAGGGTAAAGCTGGCGAGTGTGGAGCGCGGGAGTTCACACACAGCCCTGGAGCCGGGCTGGTTGGATGGCTCACTTTCTTGCTGTGTGACCTTAGGCAAATTTTTTACCTTCTGTGTTTAGGTCCTTTCTCCATGAAACAGGGACTATGCAGAATCTCATTGATAGAGAGGACGAAATGAGTTAATACAGGGAAAGTGCTTCTAACCTGACCCAGCCAGTGCTCTCGTATGTGTTCTGATCCCTGGGCAAGGGGCAGTCTGCAGACCAAGTGCCCAAGTCCTCATTCACCATCTGACTGTGGGCCCTGGATCTCCCAGAGCTAGTAAAGAAGATTTTTGCTCTATAGTAAAACCCTAGGTTCCTCTGAGGGAGGAGGAGACATCCTCCATCTCCCCCTTACTCAAAACCTGGCCTAGGGCTGGCAGGTGATGTAGTGGTTGAAGGTGCTGGAGTCTCACATGGCTAACCGTGGTTCGAGTCCTGGACCTGGCGGCTCGCTTTCTCACTTCCCTTTTCTCTGTTTCTTTCTGGTCAAATTACAAAATAACAAATAGAATTAAATGATTCTTAAAAAAAAAAAAAAAAAAAAAAAAAAAAACATCCTAAATCTTACCTCCTCCAGAAGCCTTCCCTGATAGACACACCTGGCTGTGAACACTGAGTGTGCTTCACGGCCTCTCTCTGTTACTTAGCTCTGAGCTTTTTGCTCCTGGGAGTAGTTCTAGGTCTTTGTTGGTCTGGGTAGAGGGGTGCATTGGCAGGAGCCAGGAGATGGCAATGCAGCACACAGATCAGACAAAGGCAGGAGGGTGCTCTGAATAAGGACCCACACACAGTATATAGCACCCTGGCAGCTTAAGAAGCACTTTCACTCTTCCTCTCAGGTGACCTTTACACCCCACCAGGAGCAGGATATCCCTTCCTAAGTGAGAAGGCAGGCTGAGCCAAAGGGTGGCTGGACAAGGAGCCGGACACAGAATCACTGCACCCAGGATTCCACCGGCCCTGTAGGGGCTTCCAGCCTCAGGATCCCACAGCTCTGGGACCTAGGCCAGTCTTAATCTCTCTAGGCTCTGTCTTCTCATCTGTAAAATGTATACGACATTAGGACTCAGTCTCTGGCGAGGTTGGAGGGGGGTAATGAGGGAATGCCCAAAGCAAACTCACACTAGCAAGTACTCCATAAATGTTACTGAAAAGTCAAAGGTAGTTGGGCTGGGGCCAGCAGATGGCGTAGTGTTCCATCAAGGGATTCACACATGGCTGACCATGGTTCCAGTACCTGGTTTCAGTGACCTGAAACTCATGCCAAGCATGTGTGCATGTACACTCAAAATCCCAAGAGGAGAACGGAGAAGGGATTGCAGTGTGGCCATCACCACTGGGGAATGACTTCTTGCTCTCTCTCTCTCTTTCTCTGGCAAGTGCATTGCCCTATAGCAAAAATCTCTCTCAAAAAAAAAAAAATTGGGGTCAACAGATGTGGGATTAAGGCAGCTGGATCCCACAGAGCCAACTGCATAGTTGAGCCCCAGACCTGGCAGCTTGAAAATCTCTCCAGGCGTGTGTGCCTGCATGCTCAAAATCCTGAGAATGAAACATGGCCATCCCCCCTAAGGGGTGACTTTTCATTTTCTCTTTCTGATGGGAGAAAAAAAAAAAAAAAGCAACAGACATTTTCTTCAAAGCTTGGTGCTATTAGACCAGCAGATAGCATAATGGTTATGTCGCTGAACTCCCATGTAGCCCACCATGGTTTGAGTCCCAGACCCGGTGGCTTAAACTCAAGCCGGGCGCGTGTGCATGTGTGCCCAAGATCCCGAGAGGAGAATGGAGGAGAAGGGATTGTGGTGTGGCCATCTCCCCTCCCCCCACCCGGGGGTGAGTTCTCGCTGTCTTTCTGGCAAGCCTATAAAAAACCCCTCCAGTTAGTGCTGAGAGTTGCTGACAAGTTCTTGTCCTCCAGGGGCCCCTCCAGGTCACCTGCAGAGGCGGAGTTCAGTTTTGAGACCTGAGGAAAGTAACTTCCTTGTCCAAGGGACTAGTCTCCTCTGCTGTGGAATGGAGATAATGAAAAAACTCCCAACCCAGGGGTTGCTGAGAGGTCCTATAAAGGTCTGTAGTAACTTAACTACTTATTTTTTTAATAATTATTTTATTTAACTTTATTTATCTACTTATTTCAATTTGACCAGAGAGGGGCAGAGTGAGAGCGAGAGAAAGAGGAAAGTGAGAAAGTAAGCTGCCAGGTCCAGGACTCGAACTGTGGTCAGATGTGTGGGAGTCTAGCGTCTCCAACCATCATGCCACCTGCTGACCCCAGTTACTTATTTTTTTAAGAGAGATTTTTTTGCTATAGGGCACAGCATACTCCCTGGAGAGACAGAAAGCCAAAAATCACCCTCCATGGGGATGGCCACGCTTTTATCCCTTCTCCTTCAGTCTCCTCTCAGGATATTGGGCACACAGGCACACAGGCCTGGTGTGTTTTAAACAGCCAGGTCTGGGACTCGAACCACACTCAGCCACATGGGAGTCCAGTGACGCAACCACTACACTATCGGCTGGTCCCACTTTTTTTTTAAGGTACATGTGCTCACCACAGAGAAATCACCCCCTGGGGGGATGGCCATACCACCATCCCTTCTCCAGTCTCCTCAAGATTTGAGCACAGAGGCACAAGAACCTGGTATGATTTCCAAGCCACTGGGTCTAGGACTTTTTTGGGGAGAGGTTTTTGCTATGGTGCGCGTGCGCTTGTCAGATGGACAGAGAGAGACAGAGAGACAGAAAGCGAGAAATCACCCCCCAGGGGGGGATGACCATGCTGCAATCCCTTCTCCTCCATTACCCTCTCAGGATCTTGGGCACGCACGCACACGCGCCCGGCATGAGATTTAAGCCACCAGTCCAGGACGCGAACCGCGGTAGACTATGGGAGTCCAGCGACATAGCCATTATGCTAACTGCTGGTCCCTGGTCTAGGGCTCTTGACTGTGAAGTCAGTCATGTGGGATCCAGCCACCTTAATTTCCAAGCCATCTGCTGGCCCTTTAAGTATTATTTCTCGGGCTCTTATTTTGTGCCAGACACAGTGGAAAGTCACTAAGATCGTCCTCCATTGTTGGCACGCAGTAAGGATTTGTGGGGTTAGTAAGTCCACTCTTCACAAAGGCTTCCAGAAGCGCCCCTCGATTTACAGGCGGAAACTACAATGGACTCCTACACGTGGGCTGGTGTGCGGTGGTAAGGTGGAAGTTTCAGCAGGGCTGGCTGTAGAAGAGCTGAGCTTCACGTTGCCCCACCTCCCCTGCAGGCGCCGTGGCTGCGGAGACGCGGAGTCGCCACAGTTCATACCCCGCAGGGAACGAGGAGGATGAGGGGTTGGAGGAGGAACCCAGCCCCTTCCGGGGCCGCTCGCGCTCGGCGCCCCCCAACCTCTGGGCTGCACAGCGCTATGGCCGCGAGCTCCGGAGGATGAGCGACGAGTTCGAGGACTCCTTCAAGGTGAGTGCCGGGACCTGTAATACCAGCCCGCCTCCCACTGGTCTGACCCTTCGGTGTTCCGGGGCTTGCCCAGATCTGTAGCCGGGGACCTTTCCCCTCCCGCTAGCCTGTCTCTTCCGAGTCCCAGAGCATGTCGGCAGCTGTAGTTCCAGGACCACTTCTCTCCCACCGGACTGCCCCCTCCGTGTCCCAGGGCCCCTCTCCTCCCATAGGCCGGTCCTTCCGAGTCTCAGCGCATGTCGGTTTCTGTAGTTCCAGGACCAGCCCCACGCCCCGCCATCAATCTGCTCCTTCCAAGTCTCAGGACATGCCGAGATCTGGAGTCCGGACCCTCCTCCAGGTCGGAGCCACTAGGTTCCTCAAATCCAGGCATGGGGGCGTCTGTTTTTCCGGCCGGTCCGGTCCCTTTCGGTCATGGGGGTTAGGCAGCCCTAACTTTGGAGCTTCTTCTCTTCATTCTTGAATTGCGGTCCCATCTTCTGCAGATCTCGGACTCTGGCGCTTCCATGGAGTTCTCTTATCTTACCCCGCCCTCCACACCAGCCTTCTGGGAGCCAACCGCCACCCAGCTCCCTGACCACCGAGTTTAGGAGTGCCCGGCCCTGGTCTTTTATCTTCTCTCCCCGGATCTCAGGGGCGGGAGTCCGGAAGTGGAGGGGCGTGGCTCGAGCCGCCAGGCTGCGCTAACTGGTTTAACCCTTTCCTCCCCCAACCCAAAGGGACTTCCTCGCCCGAAGAGCGCGGGCACAGCGACGCAGATGCGGCAGAGCTCGAGCTGGACGCGCATCTTCCAGTCCTGGTGGGATCGAAATTTGGGGAGAGGAGGCTCCGTTCCCTCCCAGTGACCTCTCGTCCCACATTCCCGAGACCCCACCCGCTCCCGCCGCCGTTGGCGGCCATCTTGGGTGTGGGCGGAAGTCTTTTCCGCAGTCCTGTGCAAAAAGGGTCTGTTCTGTCCCTTTCGGAGAAAGGCGGTCTGACCTAGAACCCGATTCCCTTCCGGCGCGAGCGAGAGCCACAGAGGGTTCGACCCCATCGGAAGTTCGGAAGTTTTTCTGGCCCTAGCCGCCGGAAGTGGCTCGGTCTCCCCTCCTTGCGGATGCGCCGAGTTGCGATCCGGGATTAACCATTATTTCACCAGAACCCCCTGCCCCGCTGTGACGCTGCGGGCCGACGCTCGCGACCAGATATGCTAATAAAGCCCGTGTCTGTGCCGCCGAGTGTCCTCTGCCCGTCGCTTGGGGCTAGCGTTTGGCTTATGCACAAGGGAAACCGAGGCTCTTGAGTGACATCGGGGAGGGAGACCTGGAAGGGGCCAGGGTGGCAGGCGGAGCCAGAGCGGCTCGGCCTCGGGGGCGGAGTGCAGCTGGCTGCGGGACCGCCAAGTCCTTATCTCTAATGTGTTAATTGGGCGCCGCGGCCCAGCCGGCCGCCCGCGAGGGGCCCGGCCGGGGGGGGGGAGTCCAGCGGGCTGCGGGCCCGCCAAGTCCTTATCTCTAATGTGTTAATTGGGAGCCGCGGCCCAGCCGGCCGCCGGCATTCCGCGTCCTGCAAACCGTGCCGCTGTTCCCCAGGGAGGGTCATTTGTTCCTATTTGGGTCAGTCCTTCCGAACAGCTACTGTGTGGCCGGCCCGGGGCCAGCATTGCTCCGGGACTGGCTGGACGCACAGGGAGGGGGAAGGAGCAGCGTGATCACTAGGGAACCAAGACGCTTCACACAAGGTCTGGGAGCAAGCTCCGGCCTCAGTTCAAAGAGATTTATTAGCGCCCCCTATAGCCCAGGCCAGTGCTTTGTGCTGGATAGAGATGAATTTCGCCTCAGCCCCTGCTTGGTGAAGCCTCCTGGTGGCAATCGCCTGCCACTCAGGATGGGATGCTGCAACAGAGGGGCCAGAGCCAGGGTGAGGGCGGCTCTCTCCGCAGAGGAGTTAGGGAGGGCTGCAGGGAGGAGGCAGGTTAGAGCTGAGACTTGAAGGTGGGGGGAGCTCTCCTTCCTGGGATGGGGTAGTGGACCTAAGGCAAGTTGGGGGAGCAGTAGAAGCCAGGCTTTGAATGCCACACCCAGAGTTTAGAGTGGGCTGACTGAGGACGCATGGCAGGGACGTGTAGTGTTTCTGTTTCAGGGCCAGGGGTCAGGAAGATGAGAGTTGGACTGGCCAGGGAATACAGGAGAGTGGCAGACTAGGGGATAGGCCGGGAGCAGCATACTGACCCTGAGGGAGGAAGGCCAGGACAGAGGTCTCCCCAACCCCAGGAAGGCCCTACTCCACTTCCCCACCCCATCTGCCTGAGGCTGCAACAAAAACAAAGCAAAGCAAACACTCAATTGGCAGGAGATAAGCTCAGATAAGAGGCTGCCTTCCTCCAGAGGAGGGAGGCAACTGCAGGGAAGGGCCAGGAAGCTGGAAGAGGCCTTGAAGAGATGCCAGCCTAACCCTGCTGCACAGCCCAGCTACACGCTCCCTGCCGGCCCCGAGGCAGGGAGCAGGTCCACTAGGCTGGCCGGAGAGTCTGCCACAGAGGGTCCAGGCCGCCCTGCTCCAGGCCAGGACGTCTTGGCTTAGCTGTGACCTGGTGCACGTGACTTCCGCTCTGAGCCTCAGTTTCTTCGTCTGTAAAACAGGCATAACATCTCCCTCACAGGGATGAGGGTGCTGGGTGTCCCAGCCTGTGACTGACAGCTTGCCTTCCCCCAGGGGTCACTGGCACGTCCACTCCTCACCTGTTGCTGCAAGCCTGGGGCCCCTGATGTTGGAAGGGTCCATGCTGCCCAGCTCCACCCCAGCCCCGACAGCCTGTCCCCTGATACTGTCAGCTGCCTGAGCAGCGCCAGAGTCGGCCTGGCGGAAGATGCTGGGTGCTCGGGTCGTATCAGACAACAGGAAGGGGGGGCAGGGAAGGCTTCCTGAGGCAGAGGCCTGAGCCTGTGTTGGGGGGAGTAGGGAGGGGACAGAGAGAGGCTAGGAAGGGGAAAGTAATGTGAGGGGGAGTCGGGCAGAGGACACAGAGGCAAGGAAAGCCAAGTCTCCTGTGTGGGTGAGGACGGTTGTCCCCAGAGAGAGCTGTGGGCCTGGGCACAGTTAGATCCAGGAGCTCTTCCAAGAGGCCCAGCCTCAGCCCCACCAAACTCCCATAGTCTGTTTTCTAGATGAGGAACTGACACTCCAGAGCCAGACTGTGGCCCCGTCCTCTCACCCCAAACCACACTGCACACAGGCTCCCTAAAATCCACTTTTATTCATGTAAAAAAAAAAAAAATCCCCACAGATCAGAGAAAGAAGGTGCCCCCTGTTTCCCACAGCGCCAGTCTCCCCCCAGTGCTCCCTGGGAGGTGGAGACAACAGCCACTCTGAGGTGTGGGCACTGGGGAGTGAGGCGCCGACCCAGA